CCCTGAGCCGGTGAGATTTGAACCGCTGACCTGCTGATCTAGCAGTAGCCTGCAGTGCTGCATTTAACCACTGCGCCACCTTGGCTCTTATTCTGCATGGATGCGCAGAATCCCAGAGACCAGGAGGGGCACTGAGAGCAAGTGGTGACCAATTCGGGGGCCTGGCCAGGCTGCCATTACTAGTTCGGAAAGGTATGCCAGATTTTTAATACCTATTTGGCCGAACCGGACCGAACCAGTAGGAACCCAGCTCTGGTCTGAGGGTCTTTCTGGAGAGATTCTGCCCCATCCGGAGGAAGCAGCTGCTCTCTTGGCTGCAGAGCAACGGGTCTGGCGGGACACCTTTACACTGAGGCTTCGTTCCTCTTTTCCCAGGTTAAAAACAACAATCAACAAGAGCCTGGGTTTTTCTCCTTCCTGGTGGCAGACATGCTCAATACTCTAGCCTGCCCTTCCCCCATCAGCCCCATGAGGCAGTTGGAGCCGAGCACATCGGGCTTTCAAAGGAGCTGGAGGCCGTGCCTTCTAAAGCCAGCTGGCGGGCGGGGGGGGGGGTTCAGAGTGGCCCCTTTCTCAGCCTTCCAACTCTGTTAATCTATATCTGTATCAGCCCAACGCCCCCTAAACAAGCAAAGAATCCCTCCGCTCTCAACCCAAAGCACCCACTGTGTAGGGCGGCGTCCCATTCTCTCCTACAAGGCGCTATAAGTCGACATTCTCGCAGTTTGGGCGCTCTGTACAGCTGTTCCTAAGGCTGCCCGTTCGGAACGGAACTCGGAAGCCCGCCTGGGACCTGTGGAATCCACTGGCTGAGCTTGGGAGCCGCAGCCCCAGGGGCTCCACAGGGACCATTTGGGTCTTGACTTCCCACATCCTCCCCAGCTCTTCCAGTTTCTCATCCTGCTTCTCCTTGATGTTGGCACCGCCATGACTGCTGCTGTCTTCTGGTCCTTCTCTGCTACCACAATGTCAGGTTGACTGGTCGGTAGTTGCTCACTTGTCTAATAGTCCCACAGGTCCTTATCCCTCTTTGTTTTCCACAACCTTAAATGGGACCTTCCATTTAAACCCGGAAGAGTGTAGCCTGTATTCTGTGCAGATGTTTCTGTACACAAGGCCAGTTACCTGGTTGTGCCTTTCAGCATCTGTCTGCTGTTCTTTCCTGCATTGTACACCCTGCCGCTATGTGCTGGGCTGTTTCTGAGGCCTCTCAGCACAGTCTGTCCTTGGGCCCTGTCAAGTCCTGTGGAGGACTTCTGCTACTCTAGATCTGGTGCTTAATACCTATGCGACATCAGGCTTATGTTTTATGCTTCAGAATCCTATGTACTGTGCACAGTATAGTCCCCTTGAAACATTTTCTTCAACTGACCACTTTAATGTTGAAGGAAAGTTAACCCTGGGGTATCTTGTTCAGCCTTTCTGGATGAGAGAGTTCCCGAAGCTTCCCATCTAGAATAACTAGTTGTGATTTGTCTACAAAGGTACTATCTCTCAGTAAACATTTTAGGGAGAATATTACATTAAATAACCAGTACAACAACCAACCTTAGAATTGAGATTCAGGATATCAAAGTGGTGGATAGTTTCTGCCTTTGAGGATCAATCATCAAAAACAATAAAGAAATAACCAAGAAATAACCAACAAACTACAATAGCAAAAGGCAGATGAGCTATGAAGGAATAGATATTAGATGGCATGATGTATCTATTCTACAGGTACAAAAATAAGAATAGGGCAAGCTGTAGTATTCCCAGTGATACTTTATGAAAGTTGGACTTTGAAGAAGCAGGATAGGAAGAGTATTGACGCTTTTAATGTTGGAGGAAATTCCTGAGAATGCCCTGGATCGCCAAAACAACAACTGATGGATCGTAGAACAAATCATTTTGGAGGCACAATGTTGACCCTGTTTTCTATCCTTCTGTCCGAAAGTGTTACAAACAAAGAGCTTCAGGGTGTGTGTGTCACCTTGGGTCAGGGACTGGAGCCCAACGATGCACCATTTCCCGAGGTTCTGAAGCCACCGCCTACTCACCAAAACCCTTGGCCGGGTCAGGGAATGTATCATTCCCTCGCTATGGCCTTGCCACCGCCTGCTCTTCGCCACTTCGCTCACCTACTTTTGCACCTGGGGGCGGGGGGGGACAGACACGGCGAGGCTTGACCGTCTTTCGTGCCAAGAAGCCTCCAGTGGTTGTTTTCAGCTGACTTCTGAGCAATTCCGCTACGACACCATCCCTCCATCTGTTGCCGTTCTCCTGACCCGTTGCAGTCGCGAGTGAGTGGCACTGGCAGGCAAAATATTTTCCCTCCAGAACGGTGGATCTTGGTGAAGCCTATGACTTCAGTCTAAGTATCTAACAAGTAGTGCCTCCTTTATGACACATTTGAACAGCTGGGCTTTCTAAAGTTTAATGGGCACTAAGAAGGAGCCGTGACTGTCAGCCATGTATTATATGTGTCAAATGGGTGGCATTCTGGAGTTCACGTAGCAAATTTGAAATTATTAGTTCAGACAGGTGTATCAGTGCTTGTGGCTTCAATATCTTCAGATTATGTCAGCATCAATCCAGTTGGATAAAAAATGAGATTCTGAACTCTTGCTTAACTTTGCAGAACTGGACACCTTTGATCTGATTTTTTCATGCTGGGAAAGTGGGCCTCAGGGTTTTTTTCTTTTTAAACACACCCTTCATTTAGCCTGCACTCCCTTTGCTGGCACTTTCTCCAGAGACCTTTGTGCTTTTGGAAGAGAGAAGTGAGTGGATTTCAGCGGAGATGAAGTGGTGGCTGTTTGGGATCGTGATTGAAAGCTTGTTGGTTGCTGGAATACCAACTGAGGGTAAATGAAGCTTTTTTTGCTGATTAGGAATAAATTTAGAAAAGTCCCTTTCAGGGAATGTAAAGGAGCGTAAGGTATTTGGTCTCATGACTTTACTCTTTTGAAACTTCTGTCAAGACCTATCTAACTATTACGGGAATTTGTTGCTTTCCTGATCGCAGCTTTGCACTAAAAGGAGTCCTCTGTTTCCAGCTTTCATTTTAAGACATGCCTTCTCTACATAATGCAGCATTTGCTTCCTATACAGCTTGAGTCCATCTTGTGAATTTATGCACGTTTGCTAATAATAACCAAACTCATTGAATAAATGTTAAAACAAGATTGAACTTTTTCCATTAGTAGATATTTATTCTTGTTTTGAATGATGAAGTGTATGAAATTTGCTTATAAAGCCAATGTATAATCTGTCCAACTCTTACCAAAGTATTTTGGTATATTATATTGCAAGTGTAGAATTGTATTTCCAGGTGCAACTAAGACAGGGAAAGCCTGTAAGTCACTCTTTTTTGTTACTATTTCTTGGGAAAAAGGGGACATCCTTTCTGAACATAGAACCTTTCTGAAGGTTCTGTTTATCCCTTGTTATTACAATTAATAATCTTTCCTTCTATGAATTTAAGTTAATTCTCTCTTTTTTTAAAAGTTCAGAAACATTACCTTACAGGTAGACAATATTTCTGAGAAAAGTGGAAAAGTGTATATTGGTGGAAAGGGCAAGGGCACATTACTTATTTACAGGGAGCTGGATTTATCTGGCTGAACAAAAAGTGGGTGTTGGTAACAGATTTCTTCACAACCAAATCCTGTCACAATTTATATTTCGTGCTTCTTTTCATAAGGAACTTTTGATATGCTGAAGGCAATATCACCCTCCCTTGATCTTTGAAACATTTACATCAGCAATGGAGGCACCATTGGTCCTGCCTCCCAAATGGTCAGAGAGGGACCAGCATCTCTGGAGGAGGGGTTGGGAGCATCATCATCTTGCTGACCCAGGACTCACTCCGACTCGTTAAAGATGAGGGGACCTTTTCCTTAATAAAGACTGGTTCTGCTAATTCTGAAGGACAACCTCCCTTCCCCATGGATACAGTAAACCAGAGATTGCAGGGCTCTGGCCTCGCCATAGCCTGGCTTCTGGTTTTGACCAGACACAAACAGAGAGTCCTTTGGAATTTGAATGATCTGGAACATCAAGTTGAAGTTACTACCTGCTAACAGCAGAACTCTGATAATGAAAAGTGCTTGGCAATCTGGATAATCCAAGCTGTGTGCATGGATTACCTATATCCAGGTTGACAAAGGATTTATTTTCAGCCAGGCACGATGAACTCCCAACAATGGAATTACAGGACAGAGTCCCCAAAACCCCAGAGTACCTCCTGCAATTCTAGGGAAATAGAGGTGTCTGTTGTGTAGATCATTTCATTGCAGTGTTTGCAATAAGAGACCCGAGCAGAGATTACAGCTTCTGCTGCAACTTCTTTCCTAGAAAAATATGCTCATCTTTTCAGAAAATCTTGTTCAGCTTCTGGAGGGGCTAACAGAAGCATCATTTCAGCTGAGAGGACTACAGCTGTATGTGCCTGAAGGAATGAAGTACAGTTTGAGTTTGATACACAGGTCCCAAAATGGGCCCTTATACACCTAGAATGATTCACCCTTCTTTCTATGCACCAGGAGAATGGAAAAAAAAACCCTTTCCCTTCCGCAAATGTCTGGTAATCATCACATGCAAACCAGGAATCTAGTTTCTTAAACAAACCACAGTATGATGTAGTATTTGATAGAGATTTGCTTGGTAGCAGGCTGGAGGATTTAACTAGAATGTTCAGGATATATATTTTATCTTTTACTATTACAGTATATATAAATGTGCCTGTGGAATGGGAAATCAATCAGAATAGAGCTGGAAGGGACCTTGGAGGTCTTCTAGACCATCCCCCTGCTCAAGCAGGAGAACATATACCATTTCAGATGACTGACTGTCCAGCCGCTTCTTAAAAACCTCCAGTGATGGAGCGCCCACGATTTCTGGAGTCAAGCTGTTCCCCTGGTTAATTGTCGCCACTGTTAGGAAGTTTCTTCTTAATTCCAGGTTGCTTCTCTCCTTGATTAGTTCCCATCTATTGTTTCTTTGCACTTTGGTTACTTTGGAAAATAAGTTGACCTTCTCCACTTTGTGGTAACCTCACAAATCCTGGAAGACTCTGCTATCAGGTCACCCCAGCCCTTCTTTTCTCTAAACTAGCCAAACCCAAATCTTGCAACTGTTCTTCATACGTTTTGGTCTCCAGGCCCTTAATTGTCTTAGTTGCTCTTCTTTGCCCTTTTTCCAAAGTCTCAACATCTTTTTATAATGTGACCAAAACTGGATGCAGGATTCCAGGTGTGGCCTTACTAAGGATTCCTGAAGCAGTACTAATATTTCACGTGGTTTTAATTCTATGCCTTTGTTTATACAACCAAGGATTGTATTAGCTTTTTGGCTGCTGGCTCCTATTTAAGTGACCATCCCCTGGGACACCCTCTCATGGTTACTATTTTTGAGCTAGATTTTGCCTAATTTGTACTTGTACTTTTGACTTTTCCTGCCTTGGTTGTAACACCTTGACTTTCTCCACATTACATTTCGTGTTGTTGGATGGGGCTCATTGTTCAAGTCTGTCAGGATCTTTTTGGATCCTAGCTTGTCTTCCGGGGTGTTGACTATTCCTGCCAGCTTAGTGTCCTCTGCAAATTTGATGAGTTCCCCTTCTATTCCTTCATCTGAGTCATTTATGAAGATATTGAAGAGTTTCAAAAAAGAGTATTAAAAATAACAAAAGGAAATCTAGAGAAATGTGACAACTGCTTAGATGTCACTTTGAGAAGGACAAAGGCTGTCAAATGGCTGTTTACATCCACCCTGCCCCAGATTACCTTGGGCCAAGATACAGGGGAGTGATCTGGCAGATTCCTGCCCCACTCATCCTTGTGAGTGTCTGGGTGCACCTGCCTGGGCATTATGTATATGATACAAGATGGTGTGACAAGTGACTTTGGATCTGATTCAAGTTAAAAGTTCTCCCCCCTCAAAGGAAATAAATAAAATGCCACCCTATTACCCTTGTTTGAAGGGATGTAGCCATAGAGCAGTGTTTCTCAACCTTGGCAACTTGAAGATGTCCGGACTTCAACTCCCAGAATTCCCCAGCCAGCGAATGCTGGCTGGGGAATTCTG